TCCAGGTGGAGGAAAGGAGGGTAATCATACAGAATCTTGTGGAATGCAGTTATTCCAATGGACAGAGTAGGGATGCTTTTAGGTGGGTCTGTCCAATTTGTAGTTAAGATATGCAACCACTGACCATCAGCCTTATACTACAATCTAATAGGCACTAGGAAAGTCCAATTTGGGCTCTGTTCCCAGGACAACAAAAACAGAAAAGGAAGCTAGAGTCAACATTCTCTTAGGGACATCCACACTCATACATGCCCTTTACACTTGTAGATATCCTTTCTTGTTTGCCATGGGAGTTGGAATTTGCTCCCTCCTCCCTCCTTCTACTGCTTCTAACACCCCACACCACCAATTTACTATAAAGCCCTTGAAGTCACCTCTTATAGGCGTGGGCAAACTTTAGCCCTCCAGGGGTTTTGGATTTTTTACTCCCCAAATTCCTAACAGCTGGTAAGATGGTTAGGATTTCTGGAAATTGAAATCCAAAACACCTGGAGGACCAAAGTTTGCCCATGCCTTTATTGTTATACAGTTTCATAGTGAGACAGCATATGAGTACGTCCATATGCATAATGATGACATCAGTGCTGAGAAGGAACTGGCTATGTCCTCATAACCAGATGCACAATCTTATCATAACACAAGTATGCATATGGATATTATCTACACCATGCTGTGGGGAGGTTGGGTTGAGGTCCAAGTATCTCAAAAGCCTGACTGAACTGTTAGTGGATTTTCTTCATTTTGATGTACCTGTTTTTTGGAAATAAAATTATGTATACTGACCATTGCTTTTAATTATTAGAATAACAAAACCAACAGCTTTCCAGTTGTTTGTGGATTTCAATTTCGATCATGCCTAGGTATCATTACGAATAAGAGAAGGATGGTGGAAGTTGGCTTCCCTTCTCCATGACAGAAAAGTGTAGATTGCTTTGGAAGAGCATCTGCTTCCTCTGAATTTGTCTGCTTCTGAGAAATCTCTTTAGAAGACACTTGTTTCTGTATTTACATTACAAGTCATTTTGCTTTAACTGTGGGACATGTTGTTATTGTTTATTGTTGGGTTTTACCGGCATTGAATTCTTGCAGGAGCTGTAAGCCACCTTGCTTTCCCTTGAGTGAGAAAGGCGGGGTAAAAATGAAATAAATAAAACAATAATAAATTTTGTATAGTTATGTGTTCAGCTTCTGTTTGAGGAACCTCCTATTGAAGCCAAGTTTGTTTCAGAGATTTATTTTTTGTCGTGTCAGGAGCGACTTGAGAAACTGCAAGTCGCTTCTGGTGTGAGAAAATTGGCTGTCTGCAAAGACGTTGCTCAGGGGACGCCCGGATGATTTGATGTTTTTATCATCCTTGTGGGATGCTTCTCTCATGTCCCCGCATGAGGAGCTGGAGCTGATAGAGGGAGCTCATCCGTCTCTCCCTGGATTTGGTCTTCAGTCCTGCCGGCTCAGGGGTTTAACCCACTGTGCCACTGGGGATTCAGAGATACAGAGCACTAACACAGAGACTTTGAAGTTACTCATTAATAGTTTAGCTCATGTTATGTAAATGTGTTCTCTTAGTACTCTTTTTGTGTGATGCTGATGTGGCTACCCTAGGGTCAGTTTATATTGGCACATGGTTCTATACTGGCATATGGATTTATAACTGACAATGTTTGGTTACAACACGAACTGACCTTGTGTATCCATAGACAAACAGACAGACAGATACATAGATAGGGACTTTAGTGATGCCAACCAAATACATGGATAAAATCCAGAGTATTTGAAAACTCATATTTACCTATATGAGTCTGCATATTATCCATGTGACATGCATATATTATATATTAGACTTGGATCCGTCGACCACGGTATCCTTCTGGGACACCTCGCGGGGATGGGTCTTGGAGGTACTGTTTTACAGTGGCTCCGCTCATTCCTCGAGGGTCGGTCTCAGAAGGTGTTACTGGGAGACTCCTGTTCAACCCCACAACCGTTGTCTTGTGGGGTTCCTCAGGGTTCAATACTGTCTCCCATGTTGTTTAACATCTACATGAAGCCGCTGGGTGAGATCATCCGGAGTTTCGGAGTGCGATGTCATCTGTACGCAGATGATGTCCAACTCTGTCACTCCTTTCCACCTGCTACTAAGGAGGCTGTCGAGGTCCTGAACCGTGCTTGGCCGCTGTGACGGTCTGGATGAGGGCGAACAAATTGAAATTGAATCCAGACAAGACAGAGGTACTCCTGGTCAGTTGTAAGGCCGAACAGGGTATAGGGTTACAGCCTGTGTTGGATGGGGTCGCACTCCCCCTGAAGACGCAGGTTCGCAGTTTGGGTGTGATCCTGGACTCATCGCTGAGCCTGGAACCTCAGGTTTCGGCGGTGACCAGGGGAGCATTCGCACAGTTAAAACTCATGCGCCAACTGCGCCCGTACCTTGGGAAGTCTGACTTGGCCACGGTAGTCCACGCTCTGGTTACATCCCGTCTAGACTACTGCAACGCTCTCTACGTGGGGTTGCCTTTGAAGACGGCCCGGAAGCTCCAGCTAGTCCAACGCTCGGCAGCCATGATACTAACAGGAGCGGAGTGCAGGGAGCATACAACTCCTCTGCTGCACCAGCTCCACTGGCTGCCGATTTGCTACCGGGCTCAATTCAAAGTGCTGGCGTTGGCCTATAAAGCCCTAAACGGTTCTGGCCCAAGCTACCTATCCGAACGTATCTCTGCCTATCAGCCCGCCAGGACCCTAAGATCTTCTGGGGAGGCCCTGCTCTCTATCCCGCCTGCTTCACAGGTGCGGCTGGCGGGGACGAGAGACAGGGCCTTTTCTGTGGTGGCCCCCCGGCTGTGGAACGCCCTCCCCATGGAGGTAAGATCAGCCCCCTCGCTGATGGTGTTTCGTAGAAGATTAAAAACCTGGATGTTTGAACGAGCATTCGGTTAAACAGTGCAACCAATGTGATGATTACAGGAATTGGAAAATCGGACGACGAACTGGATCATGATTTTAGTTATGAGATGTATGGTGTTGTTTATTGTTACATTAATATTGTATTTTATGCCTTTGTGGTTTTACATTGTATATTGTTGTGGATTTTATCTTGTTGTAAACCGCGTTGAGTCGCCGGTCAGGCTGAGAAACGGCGGTATAGAAGTATAAGAAATAAATAAATAAATAAATAAATTTGCTTAAGTGGTGATCCATTATTCAGCAATTGATTTAGATCAATTGTTGGAACTAGTTGGAACTAAACAACCTGTTCCCAGCTACTGCATATTGTATGTACATGTAACATATATGTGTATTATGTATATATAATACATAATATGCATTTATATATATATATATTGTTGTTGTTCATTCGTTCAGTCGTCTCCGACTCTTCGTGACCTCATGGACCAGCCCACGCCAGAGCTCCCTGTCAACCGTCACCACCCCCAGCTCCTTCAAGGTCAGTCCAGTCACTTCAAGGATGCCATCCATCCATCTTGCCCTTGGTCGGCCCCTCTTCCTTTTTCCTTCCACTTTCCCCAGCATAATTGTCTTCTCTAGGCTTTCCTGTCTCCTCATGATGTGGCCAAAGTACTTCAACTTTGTCTCTAGTATCTCCAGTGAGCAAGTGAGCAGTTGGGCTTTATTTCTTGGAGGATGGACTGGTTGGATCTTCTCGCAGTCCAAGGCACTCTCAGAACTTTCCTCCAACACCACAGGTCAAAAGCATCGATCTTCCTTCGCTCCCCTTCCGGGAATTCTTTGCATATATATATATATATATATATATATATATATATATATATATATATATTATTTTGTATTTGTCTGTTTGTTTGCTTTGTTCTGTTAGAAATGTAATATAATGGACTGGTTGCTCTGACACGACAAATAATATATATATTATTCATACAGTTTAATAAGAGACATGATAGCTATGTATAAATATGTGAAAGGCAGTCATAGGGAGGAGAGAGCAAGCTTGTTTTCTGCTACACTGGAGACTAGGACACAGAACAATGGCTTCAAACTACAAGAAAGGAGATTCCATCTGAACATTAGGAAGAACTTCTTGACTGTGAGAGCTGTTTAACAGTGGAACTCTCTGCCCCAGAGTGTGGTGGAGGCTCCTTCTTTGGAGGCTTTTAAACAGAGGCTGGATGGCCATCTTTCTGTGTGTGTGTGTGTGTGTGCTTTTTTCCTTCTTCTTGGTAGGGGGTTGGACTGAATGGCCCACAAGGTCTCTTCCAACTCTATGATTCTAATAAGTATTTGCACAGGACCATACATGATGTATGGTTGAATCTAGAACTAATTAATTACAAATATGATGTCATGTATAATTCATTCCTTTTCGCAATTAAAAATTGCATTACAACATGGCTTTTGTGTTCAAGGGATGACCTCATTCTAAAGTAGTGGAGGAGGAATATCACATAGTTCAAGACTTGTTTCTATTAGGTCTTGCACTATTTTATCGGTGCTGAAGTGACAATGTCGTGGGTTAGAGGAGAATATATTTTGTACCACAGCTCAGTTTTTGTTAGCATTCCGTTTTTCCCCTAAAAGCTATAAAAGAAACTATGATAACTACTTTTGAGAACTGAGAAAGCAAAGTGTTACTTAAAATGTAAGCATAATTGCAGCTAACTGTTTTGGAGCCAAATGGAACTATAGTCAATTCATTTTTAAAAGTAACTTTTCAACCTCTGAGTGCAATCTCATTATCTTTTGTAAAGGTATGGTCTACATTCTCACTAGACTCATGAATGTCTCATCAGCAGACATAATATAAGATTCACGGCTATTTCCTTCTGACAAAAGCAAATATTCCATGCTTCAATTAACTCAAATGAGATACTTTATTCTGTGAGCTAACATTTCTTTCTCCTTTTCTTGCCTTGACTGTAATTACATTTCTTTCAGCCCTGTTTAAACTTTGGCAGCAAAGCAAGACTTCTCTGGCAAACAGCTTTCTATTAGATATTTCATTAAAAATAGATTTTGGTGCTTACTACCCGGATGCTTTCAAAATGCCCTCCTTCTTTCTCAAAATCAATGGGCTGCCCATTCAGAGTCCAGTGGAAAATGACATCTAGGGTGGGGTCATGGAGGGCTTTGCAGCTGAGGACGATGCTTTCTCCCACGGTTAGCTCAGTCCTCTTCGGGGACAAGTCTATTCTGGTGGGTTCTAGAATGAGAACAAGAATCACTTTTAACATAACAGTCACCTTGCACATTCAGTTATCATAAATGATGCTCAATCTTTCTGAGATTCCAAGAAGTATAAAGAAGGGCTAGGAATATACATAGAACTTTATATGGGGGCATGATAAACTTTGTTGGTTTCCTCTTTCTTCTCAAGTCTTTTAATTAAGGCAGAAGAATTGATGAGGTAGATGATGATGTTTTCAATGTAGTTATCTTGTTACCTTACAATATTTGATGTTTTCAAAACCATTTTAGCTATTGCATATACTAGATATGGACAAACTAAGGCCCGGGGGGGGGGGGGGGGGGGGGGTGGTGAATGTGGCGTCCTAGGTGCTTACCTCAGGCCCTCCTCATTTTCCCTGTTCTCTCAGAATAAGGACATGGTGCCCCCACATCCTTATGCAGAAAGGACAGGGGAGGAAGACACGCAGCAGCTGAGAACCCTCTTGAGCACTCTCAGCCAACACATATCTAGTTTTCCTCCCGGCATAAGGATGGGGTGAGCATTGTTGTTGTTGTTGTTGTCATGCCAGGAAGACAACTTGAACATGACCCGGGCCTTCCGAGCTCCACCCTCTCATAGGCCCTCTCCCTTTCAGGCCTGTCCCATCCAGTGCATGCCTGGCCATCCTCTCTCCCAGCCCGACCCTCTTGGTCAGGCCCACAATGCAGCCCCAAGGCAAAAAGCTTTGTTGATATTCATATATTCATATATAAGTCAACCACATGTATACATTGAAGGCAAATTTTGGGATTAAAATTATGCATAGATTGATAGATAAATTGGAGGTCATTCTGTAGAGAAAGGAAAGCACCAGTGCCATCTTGGGGAGCCAGCCATGCCTGCCATTTTTGCATCCATGTATTCAAAAAGGCCAGAGGCTGGATGGTCATCTGTCAGGAGTACTTTGAATGTGGTTTTCCTGCTTCTTGGTAGGGGGTTGGACTGGATGGTCCACACAGTCCCTTCCAACTCTATAATTCTATGATTCAGAGAAAAGAGTGGTGTTATTTATAGGAAAGTACTTACAATGATCTAGTGTTTTGGGGTTAATTTTTGAACAACTTTTTTAGACTTATACATGAGTATATACAATGGATTTTCCTTGTATTAGATGTTTTTTGTAAGCTTCTTTGAGTTTTCATTGAGCTGAGAGAATGGTTGGATACAAATTAAACAAATAAGCCAATTAAATTTGTGATCCTTCAACTATTGTTGATTTGCAGCAAAATCTCTTATCATTGGGTGCTGCTATTATTATTATTATTATTATTATTATTATTATTATTAATATTACCTCTTGAACCTCTGAGTTGATACACAACTGATAACACACATTAGAAACTATAGCTGGCATTTTGCATTGTGGTTAAGGAGTCACAACTCCTTCAGATTCATAACTTTGAAGGAGATACAGATCCACAACTACTTCAAATTCAGTAAGCTGCTCAAAAAACCACATAAATGCCCTTTTCATACCACTTGAAGAGCAAACAACCAGATGTGCTGGAGGATGACCACTCAGTTGCCATTTGGTGTACAAGGAGAAAGATGTTCCTCCTCCCTTCCAGTGATTGAAGCTGCGACATTCAGAAGCTGAACCGCTCTTCCAATTCCTTGTCACAGCCTCATCCACTGGCAGAATGGAGCTGGAAACATTGCTGACTTTGTGCCCCATTTGGCAACTAAACTCTTTTCAAAGGGAGTTCCACAGTTGGAGGCCTTCTAGAGTTTATAAAATGCACAACTGAGGATTCTGTCTACACTTGCTAGAATTGGTTATTGTGAGCTACATTTTGTGGTGGATCTACACTGTGCAATTAATATTTGACATGACCACTCAATGCTATACACTCAGGGGAGTTGTAGTTTTTAGTCTGCTCTAAAAAATAGTATTAGTCACTTACCAAAACAGTAACTCCCAGTGTTCTATAGTTTTGAGCATGGCAGCCAAAATGGTGCTGAACTGTATTAATTCTACACTTGGTTTCTTACTTAGTCCGTATATTATGCACAGTAAGCCCCCCACTTTTTCATGGCTTAGAGATGCAGGACCTCTGTGGAAGTGGAAAAACTATGAAAAAAAGTTCCAAAATATTTAACCTGAGAGAACGCCTTGCTAAAAATCTCTAGGTTTTCCAGCACTACTATATGGTCTACTTCTACAAAAATACATACAGTAGATTTAAGATGGGCTTGTAAAAATCTTTTTGTGGATATTTTTTACTTTAAAAATATTTTTTCTTGCTGGAACCCTGCATCAAAATTTTATAGACAATAATTTTGGTGTCATTCCCTCTGATGCACAGGAGGAAATATTGCCAAAGGGGCACCAAATACCCCATTCTGCAATGAACTTCAAAATATATGTGTACATCTCCACACACTCCTGCCCTTTTAAAAACCAAGAAAATATTGGTCTATGTTTTCAATGTGTTTTTAAGGATTTTATTATAATTCCTCATGATTACACTTTATATCAGAGATGGTTAATGTGTACCCCATGGCCTTCAGGACTATTTTCTGTCTTCACAGTCCCCCCAGGGATCCAATGTTTCCATTCCTTTAATACCCATTGGAGGGCATTGAAACATTTTCAAAATATTTATGTCCCCTTAGGTTATTCCCATTTACCACTGTTATTCAAAGAGACCTTCCCTGGGCCTGAAAGGCTAAGGGAATTGTCTGAAATCATGGCAAAAATTCTTACCAGCTCCCTCATATTTTGGGAGAAGATACAGAGATGGTGCAGGACTTCAAGGTCTCTTGGGGAGCTAAATGCAGACCCATAGCTTTCCACAGCCACTCACCTCTATTTATATTGGGTTTTTATTATGTTGATGATAGGTTTTCTTTCACAAGTCTCTTTGAGAGTACTTATTCAAGGGAATGACTATATAAACATTTAATGTATGAAGGAATACATATTTTCATGCCAACTTTAAAAAATCCCACAAATTGATGCAGAACTGGAAAAAGTAATTGTTTTGTCTTTTTTCAAAGATGTAACAGTTATCGAAAGCTAAATCCACAAATCCCAGCCTAGTCTTACCTTTAACAAACACAGAAGCTGTTATCTCTGCTGAACCAAAAACATTTTCTCCTCGGCAGACATATTTCCCTTCATCAGATTTGGTGGCATTCAGGATCCGCAGGCTCCCATCTGGAAGAACAGTTATCCTGAAAATTAGAAAAAAGGTTTTTATCCTGAAAGAACATATACAGAATTATTGCAAATACAAAAAAATACCTGCAGGTCATATTTTCAGCCTTGGAAATAGATTTATAGGGGTCTGCCCAAATTGCTGAACAAAGATGTCATGATACTGGTTGAATTCTCAAATCTTTTAAATGAAGCTGATATACGGATGTCTTCCATTGTGCACGTGGCAGGGCTCAGACCGCACTGTAATAGGTGGCCTGTGATTTGCTCTTCTCCACATTCACATGTTGTGGACTCCACTTTGTGGCTCCATATCTTTCATATGACATTGTTTCTAGTGCCCACTTTTTGCTTGACATTGAAGCTGTGCTTCTTGTAGATCAGAGCATAGTCCAGGGTAACACTGAGGTATTTGGGTGTGCTGCAATGGTCCAGTGGGATTCCTTCCCAGATTATCCTCAGAGCTTGAGATCCTTGTCTGTTCTTAAGATGAAAAGCACACATCTATGTTTTAGATGGATTAGGAATCAGCTGGTTTTTGCTGTAATAGGCAGTCAGAGCACCTAAAGCTTGGAAGGTGCTGAAAAGGCTGTGCTCTGGTATCATGGGATGCAGAGCCAACCTTAAGAAATCAGACCACAAAGTGGAGTCCATGACATGCGAGTGTAGAGAAGAGCAAACCACAAACTACGTATTACAATGCAGTCTGAGCCCTGCCATATGCACAATGGAGAACCTCCTTATAGCAACATCAGAAGCACTCCAAGTAGTCAGCTACTGGTCAAAGGACATTTAATATAATGCCAAGTGTTTTTAAACTTAGTGTTTTTTAAATACATTACAACTGTACCCTCAGTTCGCTTCTGATACAATAAATAAAATAGTTCCTTTCTTCCTGTAATATGAAAAATTCTGAACTCTCCCAACAAGTGGATTTATCTTCTAAAACTTACAAAAGTTAGAAGGTTGTTTTTTTTTTTAAAAAAGACACTTCTTTCAGATGAAAACAGCAACTTTATCATAAGATGTTGTTTTAATATTAAGCATCGGCCATTCCTCTGGAATCTAACAGTGACCTTAAAAAATCAAATAAATGAATAAACACATGAAGTAAACACAGATGAGGAAGAAGAAATTAATTGTAAATAGCCAAAATATGATGCCATGTAGTATAGAGATGAAAATCAGTTTTGGGTATGAATCAATATCATTTTCTTTTCTTCTAGTTCTACACCACATTATGAAGTCAGAGGCACCAATAACTCACTCTTAAATATAAGAAAAAAATGAAATGCAGGGCTATTCCTAATAACAGAACTCCTGTAAAAGATACCCTTTCCCACTACTCCAATGTGTAGTATTATTTAGTTATTATTTATGTTATTTCTTTATCACATTTACGTGTCACTTTTCTCCTTGTATGGAACACAAGGCAACCCGTAAACAATGAAATAAAATTAGGTAAAATTTTAATAATAAAGTAAAAATGCATTTGAAAGATTGGCATGTTTAAAATCATAAATCAAACAACATGAAATCATTAGAAACACAGTAGAGTTAAAAGTAGTGTACCTGCACATTTTAGGTCCCTTCATCAACTACAGGCAGTTCGCGAGTTACAAACTTCTGACTTAGAAATGACTCATAGTTAAGAACGGGGCTGAGTCAACAGGATGTGAGAGAAATCTATCCCTTGGAAGGGAAATTCATTTCCTGAAAGAGTTATCATGTGGAAAAGGTGCCTCAACTGAAGCTTTCTCACCAATCCTTGTTTCCACAACAAGCCAAATTTTTCCAAATCCTATCACCACAGTGACAGAAAGTGAAGTGAAATCTTCTGAACAGGGGCACAGGCAGCAAAACAAACACCAGAGTGGTACTAGCTCCCTTTCCTATGCTATCCAAAACATGTGTGTGTGTGTGTGTGTGTGTGTGTGTGTCTCTCTCCATCCATCCCTGAAGTTACACTGAAAATATGTACCTGTTCTGACTTACAAATAAATTCAGTTTAAGAACAAACCTACAGAATATATCTTGTTAGTCAAGGGGATTGCCTGTTCTTATTAAAATCTCACTGTGTGCATCTGCACTGTTTAATGTTTCTAGTTTGGTGATGCACCAGAAATATTTGGCATGAAAGGCTTGAAAAATTCCATAGCATTGAGCCATAGCAATCAAAAGGGTATTAAACTGCATTAACTCTACAGTGTAGACGTAAATACTATGTATTTCACTATGGACTGAATTTTATAGTTAGTCTCAAATAGAGTAGACCCATTGAATCAATGCATTTGCCTACATGTTCACCTATCCTTCAGTAACAGAGTAGGATCTGGTGCCTTTTTCAGGTATTTTGGTAGCTATTGAAGTAAACATAAACTACACTTTCCTTATTGTATGCAGTTTATAAGACTTATTGGTTGAAGGCAGTCTAATTGTCATGACAAATGTGCCACCATTCACTTGAAATGTAAATTTGGTCCCTGTTCCAAACAATTTATTGAATCTGCTAAATAGGTGTGTAAGAAAATCCAGGGGCATGGGAAGGTCAGACAGGCTTTATGCTGTGTGTTATATGAGAAGAGTGAGAAATGGATCACAAGAATGCTATCTGTTGACAACCAAGTCTATTCCACCTAATCATGGTTCATACATTTCCATATTAGGTTCCATTATGGCACCTTACAATAATCTAACATAAGGGTTATAAATGTATGATTGACTGTTGCTACCCTCAAAACTGTTACAAGATCAAAATTGGGAGGGAGACCCATAGCTCAGTGGAAAAAGAACACATGCTTTGCATGCATAAAGTAGCAAGTGCAATCTCCATTTCAACAATCTGAGGAGTGGTGCTAAGAAAGACTTATGCAGGATGTCTTGAATTGACTGAAAGTCTGACACTGTATAAAGCAGCTTCATGTTCTTATGTGAGGCTGATAAGGATGCTATCCATATATCTTATAATGAACCAAGTGGAAGAAATAGTAGTTTGTTGCACAAGGCAGGCAAAATAGCACTTTATCTGGTGATAGTCCCTATCATGCGCATCCTGCTGCTGATCTGCCTTTTATCCATGATTAACTTATCCTCTGCTATAGACAAGAAAAACCCCTCAATAACCCACTATCTCACAATGTTCTTGTCACCTATCTTGCGAGATGGCTGTGTCCTGCTTCCATGCCATCAATGTTGGCAAGAAATGTTGACCTAGGAGTACCCCCCTCTTGTACGAAGATATGTTTATTACACTGTTTCTCTATAAGTTCCCCCATGCAAATAATCTGCTCCTTTTATCTCACCCTGAGTTTTAAACCATTTTATTGTACATGTGGCCTGCTCACTGTTATTATGTTGTTTATTGCTTTCTTATGCTTTGTGTATATTGCTTATTGTATTTATATGCTTTGTACTTTATTGCGATGTTGTTTATTTTATTTTATTGTAATTTGTTGTTTGGGCTTGGCCTCATGTGAGCCACCCCAAGTCCCCATTGGGGGAGATGGTGGCGGGGTATAAACAAAGTTGATTATTATTATTATTATTATTATTATTATTATTATTATTATTAGGTGATATTCTCCTCTCTCATTCCCCCCCCTCACTATTCTCAAGCTGTGTGTTTTATTTAAAAAAATGTTTTTCAGTTATATTTGCCTTTTATTTTGTTAACCAATGGCAAAACTGAGAAGAAAAAATCAGAGCAGTGAAAGTGCAGGAAGGTGGGCTTATAAGGTATGCAGAAGTATGACTGTGTGACCACGATCTGGTGATCTGGTGCAATTTCATTAATAAATAAGAGCTCTATGTTGAAGAAGCTCTATGATAATGGGTATGCTTTAGAATAGCATCTTCATCCAACAAAGTCAATACTCCTTCCCTCTCCATGTTGTGGTTATGAGTGGCTTGATTAGCTATGACTCATACTGTCAAATAGATTCCAAAGATGTAGGCTGTAGCATTGCTAACACATATCCACAAACCAGGTGTAGCAGTTTCCATCTCTAAAAGCTTTTGTAAAGCTTATGGGCTTAATTGCCTGCTCAAGACCAAGCCATACATTCCAAGATTTTTCATTAAAATAAAGATATTTGGCAACCCTGCTTGCCTAGTTATTAAAGTTCCTCATCTGAAACTCAAGGCATAGTCTGTGCAACTGATCTTGGTGCTTAATGCACCATACTTAATGACCTTGCAAGGTTAGTCAGTGTGGGCCTAAATACCCTAAAGATATGTGTCTGATCTTGGAAGCTAACAGGTGTCAGACCTGGTTAGAACTTGAGTGGGAGACAACCAATGAATACCAGCTCCTTTTAGGCCATCATTTCTCAACCTGGATGTCGAGACTCGGGGGGGGGGGGGTTCGTGAGGGGGTGTCAGGGAGGTCACCAAAGACCATCAGAAAACACAGTATTTTCTGTTGGTCCTGGGGTTCTATGTGGGAAGTTTGGCCCAATTCTATCTTTTGTGGGGTTCAGAATGTTCTTTGGTTCTAGGTGAACTATAAATCCCAGCAACTACAACTCCCAAATGTCAAGGTCTATTTCCCCCAAACTCTACCAGTGTTTACATTTGGGCATATTGAGTATCTGTGCCAAGTTTGGTCCAGATCCATCATTGTTTGAGTCCACAATGCTTTCTGGATATAGGTGAACTACAACCAAAACTCAAGGTCAATGCCCACCAAACCCTTCCAGTATTTTCTGTTGGTCATGGGAGTTCTGTGTGCCAAGTTTGGTTCAATTCCATCATTGGTGGAGTTCAGAATGCTCTTTGATTGTAGGTTAACTATAAATCCCAGCAACTGCTCAACCCAACCAATATTTAAATTTGGGTGTATCGGGTATTTGTGCCAAATTTGGTCCAGTGAATGAAAATACATCCTGCATATCAGATATTTACATGACAATTCATAACAGTAGCAAAATTGCAGTTATGAAGTAGCAACGTAAATAATTTTATGGTTGGAACAACATGAGGAATTGTAAGGGTTTGCAGCATTAGGAAGGTTGAGAAC